CACGGGACGTTTTGGAATGCCTGCTTTGGGGGGGGGGGGAACATGCAGATCTGTCCTCGCAGAGGAGGGAGAGCTTGTACCTGAATAAAATTTGGTCTTAAAGGTGCCACTGGACTGTTTTGGACTGGGGGGGCAGGGGGGCCTAAGCAACTTACCTGGCTGCTTCTTGCTCTGACTGAGGGCTGCTGGGAGCAGGGGGTGGGGCTTCTTGCATGTGCCCGCCCCCTGGGCTCTTTACTGCCGGAGCTCCGCTCCTGTGCGCTCCTGCAGGAAATGACCCCTGCCTCTGAGGACGCCAGTCACAGCTGCTGGCGAAACACCCTGGCCATACAGCCCGGAAAATCTACACTACAATGCCAAGACCATGTCCATACAGCCCGGAAAATCTACAACAACGAATTGCTCTTTCAGTCTGAAATAAAACCTCTCTACAGTATAAATTGAGATAGGTAGCCATGCTAGTCTGCTTAGAGCAGTAGAAAAGCGCAAGAGTCCAGTAGCACCTTAAAGACTAAAAACATTTGTGGCAGGGGAGGAGCTTTCATGAGTCACTGTTCTGAAGGAGTGAGCCGTGACTCATAAAAGCTCCTCCCCTGGCACAAATTTTGTTAGTCTTTAAGGTGCTACTGGAGATTGCAAACCAAAGAGAGAGATCACGGGATGGAGGTAGGAACAAGACAGAATATGCATGGTTCCTTGGTGCTGATGGCATTTGAATTGCTTCAAGTAAACTGAATTCTGGAAAAAGAATTTTCAAGTCTGTGAAGACTTTTTTTGGCACATCACGGTTGTTTGCATCTTCTCACCCCACCTGGAGGTTGGCAACCCTATTTAACCCTCTCCCACACTGATCCCTAACCTGGAGGTACTCATGTAATAGATTCAGGCAGACGTTGGTCTGAAGCAACAGGACAAAGTTGGGAGTCCAGTGGCACCTTTAAGACCGACAAAGTTTACTTCTGGGTATAACCTTTCATGCACATTAACACTTCTTCCATGTATCTGAAAAGGTGGTGTGCATATAAGCTCGGGGAACATTTTGTATTAAGCAAAATTATGAACCAACCTAGAGAGGATATCACACACGATCATTAAAAAACAACCCATATCAAGCTTTCTGGTTTCCCGTAGTGCAGTATTTGGCAGATATGGAAAGAATCCCCCCAAATCCCATAGTACCGAGACTTGTTATATTTTTGAAAAGCCTTAAAAGTTTGTATAGGCGCCTGTTATAATGTTTGCAATCATAAACTGTATTTGTTTCTGATAAAGAGTTTTGTAAAGGCGTTTTGGAATATCGTATTCTTGTTTGTAGTTGAATAATAAAAATTGAACTGTTAAAAGGTGGTGCGCGCATGCACACTTCTTCAGCTTTAACCCAGAATTAAACTTCGTCGGTCTTAAAGGGGCCACTGGACTCCGACTGTGTTCTATTTACTCTCGTTATGTTCTTGTTCCCCTCTACCCGGTACGCCTGAGCGTATCCCCCAGCTCATTCCTTCCAAGCCAAACCGACCATTCCCCCTCTCCACCTCACTATCCCCCTTACCCAAAACTCACGTCCTGGTCTGCCGCGTCCCCGGACAATTCTCAACCTTCCACGCTTCCCTCCGACAGCTTCCGCCCCCCACAAGGAAAAGAAGAGCATACAAAAAGGAAAGGCTAGAGTGGCGCACGACTTCCGGCAAAAGGACATAGAGTTAGGAGCCCTTTGGTAAACCTTTCGTGGCCACAGGCACCCCTGCGTCTTTCCGGTTCAAAGCGCGCAGATTGTTTGCATTGCGGATTAGAGGGAAAGGGGGGCAAGTTCCGTTGTAGACTGGAAGTGTGTGATGGGGAAGGAATCTCTCTCTCGGGCAAAGTTTGAGTCTCTAGTGGCACCTTTAAGTCCAATAAAGTGTTATTCAAGGTGTGAGTTTTCGTGTGCATGCACTCTTTTTCAGATACATCGAAATGGAAATTACCAGTCCATATATGTGTGTGTATACATATTTATATATGTGTGTGTGTGTATGTATGTGTAGAGGGTGAGCAGCAAATTAGCATCCAACATAATGAAGATGTTTTAACAGATGCAAAGTCCAAACAGGAATAACAAGCTGAATTTATATGGGCACCATTTGATTGGATGTAATTCCGGGGGGAAACACAGTGAAGCAAATAAATATGACAAAATTGGAGACTGGTGTGTAAATGTATCCTTAATTTATTGTAAATCGTCCAGAGCTCTGTGTACTCAGAGATGGGGCGATTCAGACATTTAATAAATAAATTAAATTGTGCAGTACTAAGAGTAATTATGGAGCTGTGGTGGCTCAAGTGATTAAGGCGCTGAACTGCAGGCTGTGGAAGGTCAATAGTTCAGCAGTTCGAGACCCGGGTGCCGCATGATGGAGTGAGCTCCCATCTCTAGTTCCAGCTCCTGCCAACCTAGCAGTTCGAAAGCAAGAAATTGCAAGTAGATAAATAGGTACCACTTCGGTGGGAAGGTAACAGCGTTCCGTGCGCCTTGGTGTTTAGTCATGCCGGCCACATGACCACTGAAACGTCTTCGGACAGCGCTGGCTCTTCGGCTTTGAAACGGAGATGAGCACCGCAACCCTAGAGTCGGATTCGACTGGCTTTCGAGCAAGGGAACCTTTACCTTTTTAAGAGTAATTAACTGAGACTCTGTTGTTACACACTCCATCCATCTCCTCTCAAGCATGGAGGTAACTAGCGGCATCCTTTTCTTTGAGGTGGGGTGATCGGGTGTGCAGTGTTAGGCCCAGAATTAAACTTTGTTGGTCTTAAAGGTGCCACTGGACTCAAACTTTGGCCTTTAAGACAGGTTAGGCTGAGAGAGTGCAACTAGCCCTGGAGTGAAGGGTGGGATATGAATCTAATCTCTTCTTCTTCACTCGGAGTCTCAGAGCGGCTTACAATCTCCCTCCCTTCCTCTCCCCACAACAGACACCCTGTGAGGTAGGTGGGGCTGAGAGAGCTCTGAGAGAACTGTGACTGACCCAAGGTCACCCAGCTGGCTTCATGTGGAGGAGGAGTGGGGGAATCAAACCCAGTTCTCCAGATTAGAGTCCGCCGCTCTTACCTACTACACCAAACTGGCTCTCCATTAGAATAATCTTCTGGAGTCGGAGATCCTTGTTTGGTAAGGCGCTTGGGATAACATGCTGTGTGACTGACCTGGAGATAGTTGACTAGGGTTGCCAACTCCAGAATGGGAGATTTCTGGAGATCTGCAGGATGTTCCTGGGGAGGGCAAAGTCTGGGGAGGAGAGGGAGCTCAGATGTGTGACGCCAAAAAGCCCACCCTCCAAAGCTGCCATTTCCTCCAGGGGAACTGATTTCTGTAGTCTGGAGATCAGCTGTAACCAGACCCCTCCTGGGGGTTGGCAAGCTGTTGATGTCCAGAGACCGTTGGCCAGTTTGGCTTTCAGTTCCCAGCCGGTATGTCTTTGTTCAAGGGGAGAGATGTCAAGAGAGAGTTTGCATAGCAGGGGGTCCGGGCGAAGCTGCGACTGCCACCACTTTGGGGCAACGGCAGTCATTCTTCCTCTTCCTTTGACTGCAACCAGAATGCCAAGGGGATCCTCTTGAATAAATGCTAAGCTTCCCTTTTTTGCAATATACTTCCAGGGAGAATTATTTATTGTGCTCAGTCTCATGCTTCTACGGCTGAGCAAAAATCTGCTAGATTAACCAAGGATCCCGATACGCTTTGCATGACACCTCCCTTAGCTTTCTGGCAAAATAAGAAGGGTTGTCACTAAAGTTGCCAGTCTCCAGGTGAGGCCTGGAGTTCTTTCAGAATTACAGTTGATCTCCAGACTGCTGAGATCATTTCCCGAGGGAGGGAGGAAATAGATGGGAAGGAACGAAGGAGAAGAGATTGGACTTATACCCTGCCCTTCACAACCCAAAGGTGTCTCAGAGCAGTTTACAAACGCCTTTCCCTTCCCCTCCCCACCTGTGAAGTAGGTGGGGGCAGGGCTTTTTTTGTAGAAAAAGCCCAGCAGGAACCCATTAGCACAATAGGCCACACCCAACAGCAGAAACTCATTAGCCTATTAGGCCACACCCCTGACAGTACAGCTCATTAGCATATTAGGCCACACCCCATGCTTTCCCTTGACTTGCCTGGGCAAGCCGGCCCTTGGACAGGCTGGGGAAGGCATGGGGAGGCATTTAAATGCCTCCCCGATCTTTTCAGGAGGGCCCTGACCCACCTGCCTCGGAGTCGCCGGGGGGGGTTTGCTCTCCAGGCCTTCCCTCTGTAGCCATACATGCAGAGGTTTTGGCTGTAGTGGGCGTGGCCAAACCTGAACCCAGCCAGAACTCCATTCCTGTGTGTTCCTGCCCAAAAATAGCCCTGGGTGGGCTGAGAGAGCTCTTGACAGAAACAGCTCTTTTTCAAGAACAGCTGTGCCAGAACTATGGCTTGCCCAAGGTCATCCAGCCAGGTGCAAGTGGAGGAGTGGGGAATCAAACCTGGTTCTCCCAGATTAGAGTCCGTGCACTTAACCACTACACCAAGGAAGGAAGGGAAGGAAGGAAGGAAGGAAGGAAGGAAGGAAATAGATAGATAGATAGATAGATAGATAGATAGATAGATAGATAGATAGATAGATAGATGGGGCGGGAGAAAATAGATGGGAAGGAAGGAAAGAAAGAAGGAAATAGATGGGAAGGAAGGAAAGAAAGAAGGAAATAGATGGGGAGGAAGGAAGGAAATAGATGGGGAGGAAGGAAGGAAGGAAAGAAGGAGGTAGGTGGGAAGGAAGGAAATAGATAGGGAGGAAGGAAGGAAAGAAAGAAGGAAATAGATGGGAAGGAAGGAAAGAAAGAAGGAAATAGATGGGGAGGAAGGAAGGAAAGAAAGAAGGAAATAGATGGGAGAAAGGAAGGAAATAGATGGGGAGGAAGGAAGGAAATAGATGGGAAGGAAGAAAGGAAATAGATGGGGAGGAAGGAAGGAAGGAAA